GTCAAATTATGATTAGTGGTAGTTTAACAATAGAGTCCATTAGACACGTATCAAATTCTGATTAGTGGTAGTTCAACAACAGAGCCCACTAACATATAGAGTTGAGCTCACCACCATGGAGAGTCGTGAGAAGTGGAAAGCTCACACTCTCAATCCTTTACTAAAAAAAGGAAACTGTGATTAATGCAAGAGACGTTAATTTGCAGGGAATATTTTGCAAAAGATGTTTGATGCATCTCCCACAAGCGTTATCAGAACTTCAAATGACTCTCCCTCTTTCTTTCGGTTCTTACTCCAAATCGCTCCCTCTTTTTTTACTCTCAGGAGACGTTTCGAGTTAAGATAGTTGCGTAGACAGAGATTCCTCTTTCTTTCAGTTTTTACTCCAAACTCTCTCCCTCTTTTCTTCTCTCTTTGACAATACAAGAGATGTTTCAAGCTAAGATAGTTGTACAAACACTAATTGTTCCAAATTATTCTAAATGTGAGATGGTTTCAAATGCCTTATTTTTTTTAGTTTAGAGTTGGTTTTCAAACAAACTATATATATATATATTTTGCAGAGTTCATTTCAAATTCAAAGTTTGTCTTCATTGACTGTAGATTCGGAGTTTCTCTTTGTTGGCGATTTGACTCTCTTTGGTAGAGGCATTCAAACACTTTTTGCTTGGTTCAAGCTAGTTCAGACGCTAAACTTACAACAACAATAAACTAGGTACGATTTCTAGAAAATATATGTTTTTTTTTTGTTATGAAATCGATGCAATAGTGGATTTGACATCCAAACCGACTCATTAGAGGCTTAAAATCCACAAAAAAATGAGAAACAAAAGTGAAAAAAAAAAACATAAAAATTAACCCAAGTCGACGCACGACATGTTTTAACTTACAGGTGAAGAAGATGATAATATCGAGTGCGGCCTGTTTGCGAAGATCCATTGGGATCTTATATGTCCAACCCGTGTATTACACAGATGGATTTATAATAATAGTAATAATAATAATAATAATAATAATAATAATAATAATAATAATAACAATATTTTAAAAATTACAGTATTTTTAATAAATATAGTATTTTATTAATTAACAATATTCTCAATAAATACAGTATTTTAATTAACTATATTTATTAATTACTATATTTTTCAATAATTAACAATATTTATTAAAAATAGTATTAATTAATAGTAATTATTTTTAACTTGAAATTAGTAGTAATTATGAGTACAGTATTTTAAAATGTAATTAATAGTATTTTGATAATTATAGTAATTATTTTTTATAGTTACTGTATTTTAATAAATTACTATAAATACATTAAAAATAATGTATTAATTAACAGTAATTATTTTTAAACTGTAATAAATTACATTTAATAGCATATATTAACAATAATGTATTTATTAATTAACAGTACTTTTAATAATTATAGTTTTTAAATAATTAACAATATTTATTAAAAAACAGTATTAGTTAACAGTGCATCATACAGTATAATATATTTATTAATTAAATAACAGTTATTAAAAGTGCATCATACGACAATTAACAGTAATTATTTTTTAATAAATACATTATTTAAAAAATAATATATTTTTAAAACTGTAACTAAATGATTTTTAACAGTAATTATAATTTAAGTTATAAATAGCATAAAATTACATTTAATTATATTTAATAGTAATTGACAGTAATTAATTAATATTAATGTATATATATATATATATATACATATATTAAAACGAAACATGAATAATTAGTTACCATTAATGTTTATTCAAAGTGGGCCCCATAATAATTACTAAATACAATAATTAAACCTTAAATAAGAATCAATATTTATTACTAGTAATTAAAATTTTTAATCCAAATCATTAATGTTTATTCGTAAATCCAAAATATGAATTAACAAATCTATTATATAATAATTATACTTGGCTGGAAAAAAAATATTTTAAGTAAATATTTAAATAATTACAATTTTAGTTAATATTAAAATAAATTAATAATAATAAGAATGGTTAAATTAAAGTAATAAACGGTTCAAGTTGAATTTAATGACCCGTATAATTTTATGGGTTTGACATATATGGGTTAATTTATGTGGACCCGTAGACTGTATGAGTGTTAAAAATGACAGTTTATAAATAATAATAAAAATCATTATATATATATATATTAAACGAAGGCTTTCAGGCCAAAGCCCCTTCCCAGTCAGACAGGTGGCATTCTAATTGTGCAGGAAGAATAATTTCAATTGCATGTAAAGTTCAAATTTAGTTATGTCCAGTTTGTTATACGTGGATAAGCCAAATTCCTTAATTTTAGGAAAGAAAAAGCCTAATAGTATTTATCATTCCAACTTCAAAACACTTATCAACCTAGTTTCGAGAACATGATAGTGGGTATGCACGTTATAAATAAGCGACCCACTTCAATCAGAAGTTGTTTTAACCACTCTAACTGAAGTGGTTTATCGACATATTCTCTACATATGGGATTCAAATCACTACTTTCGCCCCAAGAGATAGAGATGTGTAGGCAACCCTCTATTGGAAATTAAATTACCACCAAAACTAGAACCCAAACTAAGGTTTCTCCATCATTGTCTTCAAGAAATGTAATGAGAAAATGAGAACCCAAACTGAAGTTTTTCCAACATTGTAACTTGGTTTCCAACATCAGATTGAGTTTCTTTATACATATTTATAGCATTGAATGAAAATAATCTTGGAATCATGTGATGAAGAGCAAGTTTGTGGATCAGATGATAATGACTATTGATGAGATGAGCAAACAATAACGTTGTATTCCTGGTAGCATTGCTTGGGGCATTAGTAATCAGGTTTGTGAACCAACGGAAGGGCATTCAATCCCTCGAAGTCGAGGACTCCCTCCTCAGGACGAACAAAGCCATGAAGAAGGCCATGTGGGTATTCCTCTCTCCAAACTCAAAGCCATCTACAGCGAAGAACCAACATAGCCAGGTGTAGTAGGAGACACTGTAAAAGAAGACCCAAAATCCATGCCAAAATTTGTAATTTGCAAGTTTGACCAAGTTCTATGTTCTCATTTGTAATCTTTTTAATATAGTGCTAACACAGCCGAGATCCTCTCTGAAACTAAAATCTTTGAGAACCATTTAGAGGAATTGTTGCTTCTCATTTTAATATAGTGCTAACACACCGGGGGTCATATATGCATGTATGTATGACCCCGTATTAAGTACGGGGAATCAATAATGTTAAATTTACATTGTGAAATCAATACTGTTAAATTTATATTTATTAATATTTTAAATAATTATTAATAAATAATCCCACTGGTGGGATCATTATTATAGTAATACGATAACATTATTAATGTATCAAGTAATATAATAATTGGTTTTCTGGTATATTATTAATGTATTAATATTATTAATACATTATTATTATTACCACCGGCGATGTACTGTCTTCTCCTCCGACAGTAATAGAAGCCTTTATGTTTATATATATATTTTTTGGTATACTGTAATCTCCCCCGCCAGTAAAACTTTCGTATTACTGATAAATCATTTTTTCTTTCAATTTTTGTTGTTTCATTTATTTTATCTTATGTTTTTTATATTTTTTACATGTTTTTTTTTTTTCAAATGGGTGGCAAACCACCACTTTATCGACTGTCGAATTAGTTAATGTTCGTCCTCTGAGTTTGTCGCTTTAACGAGCGAATGAATTGTAATCGAGTAAAGATGGTGATTAAAAATGGGCTTGCGGGTCGGGCTTTTAAATAGTCCGATTTCATTTAACTTAATAAACTGTTGTGGACCAGTCCACGAAGTTATTATCCGATCCAGTTTAATTAAATTCAACTCAAACCAGTTTAATTAAATATGAATTTATTAATTCGACATAGTATTTAATTACTAAAGTAATATTAATTAATGATTTTTAATTAATTAATTATAGTTATTAATTACTAATAATAATTAAACACTGATAATTAAGAACAATAATAATAATAATAATAATAATAATAATAATTGTTTTAAAGTAATAATATTATTAATTACTGATAATTAATTATGTTATGCTATTATTAGTTACTGATAATTATCGATAATTAAGTACTGTTATTTATTAATTACCGGTAATTACGTAATGTTAATCATTATAATTGTATATATTATTATCATTAAATTTAACAATATAATAACATAATAATTCAATTATCAATTAAAAATCAAATTGTTTAATTATCAACTTGGTATTAATTAAATTGTTTAATTATTACTTCATTAATTAAATAAAATATTTAATTACAACAAATTAATTACTTAATAATAACAATAATAATATTATACTTATTACTATTACTATTACTATTATTATTGTAATCTTATAATTATTTCTGATTTTATAGTTAGTATAATATTAAAAATATTTTTATAATACTGATTATTATTATTAAAAAATTGTAAGTAGAAAAATTTTGTTACTTCATAGTAATAATTAGATTAGTTAAAATCTAAATAATTTTTCATTTAGAATACTAACCATTTTTTTTTTCTCTTATTTAGTTTTCCAAAATATAAAAGATTAATAATTTTCTTTTATCAAACAGTTTTAAAATTGAAAACAATGTCTTTTCAACAACTGATTTACTATATATAGTCAATTAATTAATTTTGAAAACAAACGCAAAGGCGGTGGTAAAATTTTATGTCGATTCGCATTTATACGGCAAACAAACGCAGCATTAGCATTGTTTGGCGTTTGATATTTTTTCCGACCGTCACTTTACAGAGTCGCCGAAGGATTAAAAAGCCCACGGAGTGGGAAGACATTGTCTGATCTCTGAAGCCAAAAGGAATGGGTCCTTCAGTCCTCATGTAGATTCCAATCCGACAACTAGAAAATGTGCCTCACGTGACGATTTCTACATCGTTCTAGTAACAGAAAATCTAAAATGGCTTTCTAGTTCTAAAGTAGAAATTAGAAAAGTGAAATTTTCAGCGAAAATGAAAAGTGGAAAACCGAAATGTATAAAATACAGACAAGCGGGATTCGGTTTCATGTAGCTGTGCCTGTCTCTGTCATCGCCTTTCCTCTTTCGGTCTCCTCTCCATTCTCCAAGCTCGATTATTATTTATTCATTTGGGTTTATATTTTTCAGACCTTTGCCCCTATCAACCCTCGTTTTCCCTGGGTGAAGATATCAACAACGAACAACCCAGCGCAGAGAAAGATCAGGAAGAGGAAAAGCCCTAAATTGGTAGTTTGGGGGTTGGGCAGTAATGGAAATCGCAGCGGCACCGTCGACCTCGTACGGTGGCGAGAAAGACAGGGGCAATATCACCGTCGAGAGCTTCGAAGGTTCGTCATCGTCCCCTTCTAGTCCCGCCAACACCGACAATAACATATCTAGCAAGTACGATGACGAGGAGGACGAAGAGGACGTTTGCCGGATTTGTCGAAATCCGGGCGATGCCGAGAATCCTCTTCGGTATCCCTGCGCTTGTAGTGGGAGTATCAAATTTGTCCATCAAGATTGTCTCCTCCAGTGGCTTAACCACAGCAACGCTCGCCAGTGCGAGGTGCGTGTTCCCCTCATTTTCCCTTTTTTTTGCTTGGTCTCGTTTTCCAAGACACCTCTTTTGTTAGGTGGAGCTGTTTGTACTCTAATTAAAACTGACATTTGAATCGGTTCTGGAAATTTTTGTGGGGGTTCCCATTTCTTTAGAAATTAGGGAGTTTAAGGAGTTCTATGGTGGTTTTTGAGTTGGTTATTGGCCTTGCAAATAGAATGCCCATGCATACATGATCTGGCTACTGGTTAAAGTTTTGGATTCTTTCCTCACTAAAGATGATCCAGGACTTAACCGCTTTCAGGCGGCAGAGTAGATTTTATTAAGTGGAGGGTGGGGTTATCCTTTCGAAAGCCAAATCATTAAGCAAATAATCATTCCAAGTCAGATCAACCTTGGGCTGCCCTTCGGATATTCCCAATCGAGGAATTCAGTAACATATATACGTTCTTCTTTTTCTGTCGATCAATAACCATTAAGAACTTAATTGATGAAACCGAATTCAATCTGATGTACAAGGTGTCATGCTATTTACAAAGCAGCAAAGTGAGTGAAAACCCCAAAATATATTTCAGTACCCCTTCTCCATTGAGAGCCCCATACATATTAATTTTAACTCGAAAGTGGGGTATTCATTCCATCTCGATTTCTGTTTATCCACTCCCTAACGTGCAAGTCAATCTGCCAAGAGTTGGCATACCTAGAGGTTGAATTCTCTGACAGAGATGTTTAGCTTCCCTTGCCAATTGTCATGTCCCTTAAAGCACATGGTCCCTCAAATTCTTCCATTATCCAGCTATCGTTTGGGGTTTCCCCTTACTAAGTTCAATTCTTCATTTCACAAGCCATTTGAAGTGTTGCAAATTTCAGAATTACCGGCTTTATTTCTGTGCATGTGAATAAGTTTTGCCTTTTTTTCTTACCTTGGCGAGGGATCACGAAATTCAAATGTGATAGTACAATCCCAAAGTGATGAATTGATGAATTACCGGCTTTTTTTCTTACCTTAACTAATCTTCCAGATGGATGTAGTGCTGGAGTGGGCACAGAATTGAATTCACAATCCTATGAATGTAAGTGAGTCTGTATCAGCAAGATGAGAAAACATGGACTCAGGAAATGGTGACAGATCTGTGCAGAAAGAGCTGGAATAGTGCTGGAGCGGACACAGAATTGAATTTGCAATCCAATGTGTGAGTGAGTCTGCATAGATCTTTCTGCATTGCCTGTGCCATGGCTAGAAAGGCCGGTAGGATTTTTGGAAGCAGCTAGTAGGCAAGAAATTTGTGTTTCAGAGAGGGAGGCTGAGCTTCAGGCCATAAGATTTGCTTTGGAGAGACTATTTTGAACCCAACCAGTCAAGGGGTGACGATCTTATCAGATGCCAAAACAGCGGTGGGGATTCTGAAAAAGGAAGTTTCTGTGTTTGACCCTCTCCAACCCATTATTCAAGACATCAGGTCTCTTGCTTGTAATTATAATGAGGTGTCTTTCTTCTTCTGGAGTAGGAACCATAATGTCTTAGCTCATTCGGTGGCTAGTAACACCAACTGATCAGGGTATAACTTCATCTCATCGGATCCAAACCACCCCTGGATTGAACCATTTCTGGAATGCTCTCACCAGTCTCTCTTCCCCCATAAGCTACTGATGGGGTTGTACTTATGGCCTTTTGGCCCTTTTGCTGAAATAAAGTATCATTCTCTACAAAAAAAAGTTTGTATCAGCAAGATGAGAAAACATGGATTCAGGGAACATCTAAAGAAAAGTATATACTAATTTGGTGTGTTTTTTATTTTCTTACTTGCATCATGTTGTTTGAGCGGGAATGGTGACAGATCTATGCAGAAAGATCTGGTCCTCCCAAGCAGGTCCAAGAAATCTGCTTGAACTACCACTGGTTCAAGAATTACCTAATAGTGGGCGTTGCAGCTACTGCTAAGAACTGGTGGGTGGGGTAAAAAAAGAGTAAAATTCAATGTTAGGGACACTTGATACATGAAGAGTCTAGGTCAAGGTTTTGTGTGTGGATGTGTTTAGGGTTCATGGGTCAGCTGTCTAGCGTGAAAGTTGGGCTATGATCCATACAGGCTATTTCCCTGGTTGGGTTAAATCCACCACTTCGCTAATCACTCAAGGTTGTTTTTTTCCCGATAAAATCATTCAAAAGGTTGTTGACAAGCTAGAAGAAAATAGTGAGGGACTTCTTGTGGGAGCTTGGTGAGGGGAAGAAGGATCATTTAGTGAATTGGGAGATAGTTTGTAAAAATAAGGCCCAAGGAGTTCCAGGGATAGAGAATATAAAGAACAAAATTTAGCACTGCTAGGTAAGTGGCTGTGGAGATTATCAGTTGAAAATGATAAACTTTGGCATAGGGTGATTGCGAGTAACTTGGAATGATGGGAAATGTCTTGGATGCTGATGTGTCTATGCGAACTACCTTGGCTTCTCCATGGAAAGCTATCATGCGATCTTACTGTTGTTTCTGAATTTTATCAGGTATGATGTTTATAGGGGAAATAAAATTCTTTTCTGGGAAGACCTTTGGATGGGTGAGCAAACTCCCCAAGATATGTCTCCAACTTTGTTTTCAGTCTCTTGTTTTAAGAAAGAACCAATTTCACATTTTTCTTTTCTAAGGGAAAATGAACTTCAAGCTGTCTAAAGGAAAATGAACTTCAAGCTGCTATTGAACTATTGAAAAATCTCAAGAAGGTGGTGTTAGACACCTCTAAGCCTGATGGGAGAATCTGGGTTCCTAATCCAAAGGGTGTTTTTTCTTGTGCCTCCTTTTGTGTCCTCAATTCTTCATAGGCTCTTCCCCACCCTTTCTTATTAGAGAAGTTTGGTGTAAGCCCATTCCCCCCCAAAATCGAGGCTTTCTGCTGGGTGGTTTATCAGAGAAGATTGTTACTTCGGATGTTTTGCAAAAAATTAGAAAGAACATCTGTCTTTCTCCTAATTGGAGTATGGTGCGTCCTTTGTAAAACTAGTGGTGAGATTGGTTACCACCTCTTAATCTCTTGTCCTTTTGTTACTTTAATTTGGGGATGGTTCTATTTTCTTTTTGGATGCAAGTGGACTTTGCTTGCAAGCTTGGCCAGTTTGTTTGAGGCTAGTACTTTCAGGTGGCCCAAAAAAAGAGGAAGATTGTTATGGATAAGTACAAGAGCTACAATGTCATGGGCAATTTGGGTAGAAACGAATGAAAAGATTGGGAATTGGAGGGAGGTGGCTTTATCCACTTTAAGGAAGAATAATGCCCAAAAAAGATTGGAAATTGCTTGCCTGAAGACAATTATATAAAACAGAATTTTGATGGGAGTAGCTTAGGCAACCCGGGACCTTTGGGTGTGGGAGGAGTTTTTAGAGATAAAAAGGTCATATACTAGCTTTGTTTTCTGGCCCTGAAGGTATGGGAGACTCTACAAAGGCTGAACCAATGGTTTTTTTTTTTTGTGGGTTACAAAAAGCAAAATAATTAAATTTGGAAAGAATAATTGTTGAAGGAAACTCTCAAGTGGTGATAGGGTGGCTAAAAGATGAGAAAACGGCGGTATGGAGCTTTAGAGATGTATTATAGTAAATTAAATGGTTGACCAAGAATATGATGATTAGATTTCAATGGGTACCCAGGTCAGCAAATGGCTTGGCTGATACTTTGGCCAAAGGGGCAAATAGGGGACAATTATTCTGGGCTTAATTGTGTATATATATATATATATATTTTTTGCTTGGGTGAGGTAACATTACCTCCCTGTGGGGAGATGTTTATATTCATATTTTATTTATTTTTTTATATTAATAAAATGCTTTCGTATTATCTATCAAAAAAAGGCACTTTATGTCACTTTGCCAAAGATGCATTGGCAATGAGTATGAGAATGCATTTTCATGTGAAGGTTAGTTGGGAAGCTCAATTATCTAACTATAACCCAACCTGATATCTCCTTTTCTGCTGGAGTAGTAAGCCAGTTCATGAGTTCACCTTGAGTTCCCCATCTCGAGGCAGTTTTTAGGATTTTGTGATACTTGAAGGGCTCACCACTCACCAGGAACAGGAGTAAGATATAGAGATCATGAACATTGTTTTAGGGTTCAAAGATGCCGACTGGGTTGGATCACCTACTGATTGGAGATCTACTATAGGGTATTGCACATTCTTAGGTGGAAATCTTATCTCTTGGAGGAGTAAGAAACGGAGTGTAATGGTGAAGTTGAGTGCTGAAGCATAATGCAGAGCCATGAGCCAGGCTATAGAAAAAAATATGTCTTAAAAGTCTTTTCTAGGAGATAGGAATTCCTGTAAATTTACCTATGCATTTGCATTGTGACAATCAAGTAGCTACTCATATTGCATCAAACCCTGTATTTCATGCGAGAACAAAACACATTAAAGTAAATTGTCATTTTATGAGGGAGAAGATACAGAGTGGTGACATAGATACACCGTTTGTGAAGACTAATATGACCAGTTAGCAGATTTGTGGACCCAAGGCACTACATGACCATGGATTGACTTTATTTCTAGCAAGCTGGATCTGTATGATATATAAATGCCAGCTTGAGGGGAGTGTTAAGATTATGTTTTGGGTGGCAGGTAGTTTGGTCAATTCCTATATTTTAATAAGGACACTCCTGTGCTTTGACCATATACAGCACTGTTTATAGTTTTAAACAAGAACCCATTGAAAAAATTAAAAGAAACAAAGTAATGATGAAGTAGAGAACTAGGTCTCAATTGGATTGGTTGACATTGCATGAATTGCATAAGATTCATGAATCAAATTGTAAAATTCAAACAGTGGTAAGCTTTTATTTTTAAGAAAAAGGAAGGAATTAGACGTGAGATTTGAATCAAAACCCTTGGGCTTCATGATTTGAATTGTGAATTGCATCATAAATTGTAAGATATTGACTACTATGTGATCACCTTTTTTTTTGTCTCAACAAAATGCTGTAAACAGGAGTTACGGGATTTATTTTACCATAAACATTTTGCTGTCAAGTTTAGCTCATTGATTTTATGTAGTGAGTTAGGCTTAGTATTTTTCCCTATCTTCATAGAGCATTTTGTCTTCTTCTTGTTCTTTTGCTTATAATCATTATCTTATTGGGTGATGAACCATCTTCTGTTTTTGATGTGTTACAGGTCTGCAAGCATGCATTTTCTTTCTCTCCTGTTTATGCTGAAAATGCTCCAGCAAGGCTTCCTGTTCAGGAATTTGTAGTTGGAATGGCTATGAAGGCATGCCACGTTCTCCAGTTCTTTTTACGCCTTGCATTTGTGCTCTCTGTGTGGCTCCTAATAATACCCTTCATCACGTATTGGATATGGAGACTGGCTTTCGTGAGGAGTCTTGGTGAAGCTCATAGACTATTTCTCAGTCATATGTCCACTACAGCCATCCTTACTGACTGTCTCCATGGGTTTCTGCTTTCTGCTAGCATTGTTTTTATTTTTCTGGGAGCCACTTCTTTGAGGGATTACTTCAGACATCTCCGAGAACTTGGTGGGCAGGATGCTGAAAGAGAAGACGAGGGTGAAAGAAATGGTGCTCGTGCTGCAAGAAGACTGCCTATCCCTGCTAATAGGGTTAATGTTGGTGAAGGGAATGGTGAAGATGTCGGTGGAGGGCAAGGTATTGCTGGAGCTGGTCAAATCATTAGAAGAAATGCAGAAAATGTTGCTGCCCGATTGGAAATGCAGGCTGCACGTCTTGAAGCGCATGTTGAACAGATGTTCGATGGTTTGGATGATGCTGATGGTGCAGAAGATGTACCATTTGATGAGCTTGTTGGCATGCAAGGGCCTGTTTTTCATTTGGTCGAAAATGCATTTACTGTAAGCTTGCCACTCCTCTATTCTTATTTCACCTCTTTATTTATTTATTTTTTTGAGTTTTGACTCACTGCCAATTTATTTGGTTAATGTTTTTTAACTGATCGACTTAATGAGTGTTTTCTTTCTTATTTGTAGATCTTGACAGAGCACAATAACAAGCATATCTGTTACAAATATGTGGTTACTTAGCAATGAAAATAAGCTGGCTGTTGAATATGATTAGTTGATTACTTAGTAGTTGGCAAACTTATTCAGATGGATAAGTTCTCTTTCAACCTCATGGGTTCACAATGGCAAACATAATAGCCTCTCTCTTGATTTTCTTTTGAACCTTCTGTTTATGAACTTTTTTATTTTTTTAATTGGTGCTTCATCTGGTTTAGAAGTTGAAAAAAAAACCCTACTAGCCTCATGAATTCTAGTTCAAGTCAGTCCTCACTTCCCCATTCTGAAAGCCAGCTAGAGACTTGGTGGTTGTTGGAACTGATCTGTATGAGATGAATACTCTGGATGCCAATGGTTTGGCTTTACTTAAAAGGTGGCAGAATCCTATTATCCAACCGATCACCATCTGTGGGTTTACCAAACAACACCCTTGGTTTGTGAAGGAGAACCTATGCCTATGCCCTTAACAGAATCACATAACCCATACCGGAGATTTTTCGTTGTTAGCAAAAGCACGAGAGAAGGAGATCTGAACCCTAAAACCCTGAATACTATACTCATCACTGATTCACTGATTTTGAACAAATCCTTGGAAGAATCTCAGCTGCTCACAATTTGCAAGTTTGATTCAAGATGAGTCGGCCAATGGAGGAGGATGCCAATGTGGCATATTTAGAGAACAAGACTGGCTTCAACATGAGTGGTTTAGATCTACTGTGAAGTCCATTAATGTGGCCATGTTTTTTTGGTAATCAAAATAAAATTTACTAAAAAGAAAAATAAAGTACAAAAGGGTAGAGACCCAAAGGTCCTTGAGAGAGGAGAAGACAAACAACCTCCAACACTCAAAACAATAAACCAAAAACAGCCGGGACTTAACAATAACACCAAAAAACAAAAACCCAAAATGACACGACTACAGACACAAACCAGAGCATCCAAAGACCAAACGGCTAAAAACAAAATCATACTCAAAGAAAGCACTTCAAACCCAGGAGAAAGCAACAGAAACCTTGAAAGACCATCACCAAAACCACCCTCAAGCATTGCAATCTCTAAATGGCTGACCACTAAAACTTCTAGAAATTTTCTTGGTCTTCACAATGTTTTTGCTTGGTTTAAACCCAAAGAGACCCCCTTTTAATCTAGAAAAAAAAACCTTTGAAACCAAAACATCTCGCTGTTTTCTCTCTCTTAAATCTTCTATTTGCTAGAACATTTTCTGGAATTCCAATGAGCAAGAGGGATTCTCATTAATCCTTTCCAACTCTAGCACTGTGGGCTTTTTTTTTTTTTCCCAAATGGTTGGGCATCAACCAAAGCTTCAGTCTTTTCACCACTATCCTCTACCAGACTAGTTGTAGTTAAGTTATTGTGGCCTTCATTAACTAGTGGAGCCTGCACTTGAAGACCTCCATCACTCTCCCTAACAGGCCATGTTAAACCAGGTCAACAGTGGAATCCTTTGAAGGGGATGTTTAAGGATTAGGATAAAACTGAGAGGAGGCTGAAGGGTTTTTCCCTAAAATCCTATAAGGGCATTCTACTCTATGATTTGGCCATCTTGCTTCATTGGATGGAAAGAATAAGGAAGAGGAATTTAACACAGGACCACTTTCTGTGCTCATGATGAGTGTTAAAAACAATACCCACGTTTCTGTGAACTCGATAAGTGAGGCTCACCGTAACCTCAGGATTTTGGAGAGGAGTCTAGTTGGTTGTTTTATTAATTTTGACCCAGATGTGGAAGATGTTAGGGATTGGGCTACAGCTGCTTGGCACCCAAAAAAGCCTTTGCAGGTAAGGAAACTAAATGCTGGCTTCTGCCTCTTTATGTTCGATAGCGTGGAGGAGGCGAATTTCATGCTGTAGTGAGAACAAAGTGAGTTGTGACCTCTGGATCTTAGAATCAGTAGGTGGTCTCCCGTCCCCTGGTTGGTGCTATTAGAGATGTGGGTCCGTTGAGTTTGGTTTGGATTGTGATTTTTGGCATTCCTTTACATGCTTGGAGTTTCCATAGTTTCAAGGCTGTGGGGGATGTTTGTGGTAGATTTAGGTTTGTTGATGCAGGCACGAACTCATGGCGGAACTTGAGTGCTGTAAGAATTCTGGTGGAAGTTGTAGAGGTCCAGGCGGTGCCGACATTGTTCTCTCTACTTTGTCGGGGAGAGTTATGAACTAAAACTTGTCATTGAAGGTTCTTACCCATTAAGATGGGTGAATCACTTCAAATATTAGAGGGAGATTGAAGATTGGAAGGAGCCAGTTGTAAGGAAGCTCATTGTTCGGGTGAAATGAGTGAGAAGTCGAATGGGCAGGGAAGGACAGAGGTAGAAGATGATGGTATTTCTGGTATTTTAAGAAAACTGAAGGGGGTTGGCTCAATGGGCCATAATGAAGGTGGATGTTGGCAGAAATTGAAGAGTCTGAAAGTGGGTGTGGCCCAGCTGAAGTTGGTTGAAATAAATCAAAAGGAGGGTCATTTATTTTAGAGGGCGGTGGAATTGGTGAGGAGATAGGGGCGGTGGGACACGTGGATGGCCTTAAGGACAAAATTTTGGTGGAATTTGAAGAGTCGATTAAGAAGGATAGACCAATGGAGAATTGGGCCCAAGCCTTGATTGTTGATTGTTATGATAGGGAGAAGGCTAACCGGTTTAGGAAGGGTAGGATGGAGAAGAGAAAGCTTTTAGGTTTTAATTGACCAAAATTTAAAAGGCATGCGACGTTAGGAAGGAGAGGCTTGATCGAGATTAGAAAGGAAAAGGAAGAAAGGTGAATTTGGGTAATTGCCGAGTATGATAGGAATGACAACAAGAGGATTGTTGGACAAACAGGAGTGGAACTTGTTGGTTACTAGTCTTCTTTGGCAGATGGCGATACTGGTTTCTGCTCTCAAATTGACAGAAATCCTGCGGTGGTTAGTCTCTCTCCTGAGCCTGGGGTTTCTGCTGTGACATCTCAAGAAGTCAGGTACGATTTGGGATTTGCAGCTCCATTGGTCTCTGAGGGGGTTTTCTCTGCTGAGCGTGAGGGGTTAAAAGATGAGGAGGAAGGTGGGGAAGGATGTGTTGACACCACTGCTGAAAAAAGAGGGCAGAGAACAGATTGGAGGAGTGGGGGCTGTAGTCGCTAGTGGCAGTGTTGGTGATCAGGATGAGAGCCACGTTGGTGACTATTTATGCTTTGAGGAGGTGAAGGTTGGAAGGTTGGGTGTTTACTTGGGTCAAAGGAGCAAGACCAAAGAGAAGGAGGAGTCATTTAATGGAGTGATTTGTAAGAAAATTGAAAACACACAACTTAAGAAACCCTAATGTTGTGCATGTGATGAAAATCTTCTCTAGGTTGTAGCTTGGTCTGGTTGGGGCAGGACCTAAAAAAATTATAAATGGGTTTACAGGAGAAAAGGTACGAGAGGCAATTTGACACTTGGAATTGATTCTAGGGGGACAATGATGCAAGATTAGCCATTGGACTCCCATTTGGAGAAGGAAAATCAAGGCAACAAGGTAAACATTGGTGGTCCTGATTCTGGTGCAAATTTGAAGTTGCAAAGTAACGAGGTTAAGGATGGTGTCTCGGGATGTGTGGCTCTTCAGAAAATAGTAGAAAGAAAGGTCATGATTGGTAAAATTCTGGGTTTGTTTTTTGGGGTTGTGAGGAGTTTGCTAGAAGGTCCTTTGAGGAATTTGAAGGTAAACGAAGGGAAGAAAAGCTGAATAAAAAAGTTCTTGGGAAAGGACGCGAGGTGTGGAATGAACAAGTTTCAGACCAGGAGTATGAGCTCGTGGATGAAGACTGAGTGTATCTTCCAGGCTTCTCAAGGATTCTTTGGTCATAGTTTGAGTCTTGTCTGTTTGAGCCTTTTGTCTGTAAGCTGTGTAGTTTTTTGGTTTTGTTGAAGGGATCTTGATGTCTGATCGTTTGGTCCATTGGTTGTGTTTTTCTTTCATGTGATATCTTATCACTTTCCTGTTGTTTCTCTTTTCCCTTTTAATGAAAAATTCTCTTTCTTCCTCAAAAAAAAAAAAGTAGCTTGAGGTTCTCTTACAAGGTGACAGAATCTGAGGACCATTGGTAGATCTTATCTTCCAACTGATAACCATCTGTGGTTTCACCCAACAACATCCTTGGTTTGCGGAGAGCCTATTGCCTATGCCCTTAAAAGAATCACATAGCCCATACTGGAGATTTTGACCATTCATCAATATGGTAGTTTGAGATTCTTTTACAAGGTGACAGAATCTGAAGACTATTGGTAGATTCATTTTTTGATCGGGAACGGTAATTTTCATTAATGAAACGTTTAGAGGAGTACACTGTCAACACCCAAAACAAGGGTGTTGACCCCAAGAGATTTATTTCCAGATTACAAAACAGCCCAAAGCAAATTATCCCTGAAAGTTCCTTGCTTTGCCAATGTGTCAACTAATCCATTTGCTGATTTCCTTGTCCACCTAAACAACACCCCAACCTCCCTTACTAAGCAATTAATTTCCCTCATAAGTTGTCTATGTGCCCAGACCACCAAATTGTTTGACTGCATCCACCTAATTATTAATTTGGAGTCCCCTTCTACTTCAATTTGGTGAAAGCCCCACTGCTTAGCCAACCTTAAGCCGTGGAGCAAGGCCATAATATCTGCTCTCAATGAGTCGTCAATACCTATTGGACCAGAAAACAGGGCAATCATTCTGCCTTCCCTGTCTCTAAAAGCTCCTCCCACTCTAGAGGGACCCGGGTTGCCCAAAGAGCTTCCATCAAAATTCAGCTTCACCCGTTGTTGTGCTGAAGGGGACCATTGTTCCTTGGTCACAGCCTTCAAAGAAGAAGAA